AGTACACTACTAGGCTTCCATACTTTTACATCTTGGGGCTTTTAGATCAAGTCAAAGTGTTTGAGAATATCTGGTATACTATTAGCAACTCAGTTATAAATTACAGCAGTCGGAGCCACTTTATTACACTCACTTCCTGCTTTAATACACTGTAGATAAGGAGTTGTTGGGATGCACAAGCAAGAAGTGGAGTAAACGCCTCAGTTGTGTTTAAGGACTGAGATTAATTTTCATATAAGGCAGCCTACAAATGATTATTTTTCTGTTTATAAATATAAACTTCATCTTTCTCAATGGTAAACAGCACCATCTATGGACTCCATCACCAGAAGAAAATAAATCATCAGTCACTTTTGTTCCCAGCAGCTCTGCAGACTTTACACAACTGTAACAGACTATCAAAAACAGGAGATTTTTTTTTTTTAAAGTGCTCTGAAGGGTCACAGATGATCGTTTCCAAATATCATCACATTTAATAATAATAAATACATCTGCTGGCTCTTCCTTACACTGATTTAGGAGCAGTAAACAAGTCTAATCCATAGTCTGCACCACCAGATTTGCTTTAAGGATCTCAACTTTACATTCTTTTTGTCCACAATCAACGTCTGTCAAAAAACAAACTAACAACTGAATAAAATCCTGAGCATTTACACACAAACACACACAACTAATACTTGGAGCACAAGACAGGACATGATGACAAAAAGGTCCGAGACAGTAAAAAAAACAGGCAGAATATACAAAAATGTGAGTCACCTGAGCGTACACTATTATCCCCTCAGTGTAAACATGGACTGTTGGATATCGAGCCGTTTCAGTTCACAACCAGGAAGCAAAAAAAAAAAAGAAGTGAACAGAAGCTAAATAAATAAGTACAGTCATGTTATAGTTCTTCATGGTCAGTCTTATGTCCTCATGGTGCGGGTCAGCGCTGGTAGTGTGGAACAGCAATGTGCTGGCGGTGGTAGCTGCTTTGATGGGGAGAGTAGAGCAGGTCGGGGGTCTGGGGGGTCAGGCCGGTGCACAGAGGCTCGTGGCTGCTCAGAACGGACGACAGGTAGTTGGCCTCCTCTGTCAGCTGCTTCACCTCCTTCCTCAGGGCGGCGTTCTCCTTCTCCAGGTTCTCGCTCTCCTGGAAACACATGAGGCCGGGAGGTTAGAGCTGAGCTGCTCAGGTAAGGACTAAACAACATGCAAGTCATACCCATATGTTAAATCATATGTGTCAAAGAGGCATACTTCTATCGCTTTAAAAAGTGTTTAGGTCTTTTGAAGTGGGGCAAAGTTTTGAGCAAGAAATATCTTACCTGTTGAAGATCAGTTTAAAAAGCCTCAATGTGGACATATAAAGTTTGATTCTGATCAGATTATCAAGCTAAAAGCTAATCTGAGTGTGCCCATGACCAACAAGAATTATTTTAAATGAACCTGCAATTTTCGTAGCATTCATGCAAACGCAATTTCATAAACTTTTATATCACCTTTGTCAAAATGGCATTACACCAGATCCTACCAGATATTTCCTGCTCTCTGCTGGAACAGCTAGCTGCTAAATGTTTAACATCATAAATAACCCTGTGTAAATAATCATGTAATGAAAAACTATTATGGTGATTATAAAATGTCTTTCAGAAGAACAGCTATAAAGTTCTTGGCCCTGTTTTACCAACTGATCCGGTCCAAGTTCAACGTTATTTTCAGAAGTTTTTCAAAGAGCTAACTCCTGTAAAAGATAACTGCAAATGAAACTCCAACATTTTTCAGTCAGGTCATCTGGACTGTTTCTTTTTTTGTGCTGAAACGTTTCGCCTTCGATCCGGAAGGCTTGCACGTGAAATGGACGTGTTTTGGGTTTTAGGGCTCCAGGTCTTCAAAGAAACCTGCTGGGAGTCAGAGAGTTGACCAGTGTGATGAAAACCTGCTGATCTGTGTGTTCGAGGGTCTAATGTTTATCTTAATAGTGCCAAAGAGATAATGAGGGAATAGAAGCAATGAGATGTTTAACTATGAAGTAAAATACCCACAACTCTACAAGTAATCATAGAAATGTTCATAACTGTTTTCACAGAACTCCACTTCAGAAGATCTGGACTATCCCTTTAACCTGTTGCTCCCAGGTGGCTGTACAAACGTCTCCAAATATACAGTAAAAAAAAAAAGATCATGGAAAAGGAATGTTGTGTTCTGCACATACAAAATTAAGATAGGAAGAAGTCCAGATGTAGGAAGAGGGCCACCTGCATCATGAAGGACCCCACTCACCCAGCACACACTTTTTGCCCCGCTCTCCTCAGGAAGGAGGTTGAAGAGCATTAAGTGTAGAACCACTAGACTGAGGAACAGCTTCTACCCTGAGGCTGTTAGACTCATGAATCTCTAACCAGAATAATCACTGTGAAAAAAATCACATCATGTTGCTGCTGATCTGTTTCAATGTTGCTGCTGATCTGTTTCATCATCGGCTCACACAGACTCATGTCTGTGCTGCTGTTCAGCGTATTGTTTTTATGCTACTAGTATTTAGTGTATTTTTATTAACATTTTTCTTAGATCTTATTACTGTTTTTCTTTTACATTTTAATACTTTTGGTGCATGTAACTGGGACCCTGTGTGCACAATTTCGTTCCACCACACGTACCACATGCGACGCGTACGACAAATAAAGAACCTTGAATCCTTGAAGTTAAAAACTGCATCATTATCGTTTTGTCTTTTGACCCTTGATCTAGTGTGGAATTAAAAACATAACTAATTATTTTTTTATTTATAACAAAACCTCAACTTTTGTGCTTGTTTTTATGCTTTTTGTGCATAAATATAATTTAAACAGAAAGGATGTCCAAAAAAATGCAATAAAAATGTTAAATTTTTCAGCTGAATGGTCCAAAAAAGACACTAAAGCAGGGTTATTCAACTGGGGGCCCACTGGTGAGCTCAGGTCATCCCAGCAATGGGTTCATTTTTAAATAAAACTAGGTTTTAAACCATTAAACAAACTCACTTCATGACAATAACTGCTGCGTGTCCGGCCCCTGAGCTCTTAGCTTTCAGTAACTGTGGCTCCACAAGCAATTTATACTTTAGTCACACTATTGAGATTCACGTTTTCTTCCGTACATTTTTCGGCCTCTTAACTACTCCCGCGGTTTTTCTGCTATTTCAACAATTCATATATCAAAACGTTCAGCTGTTTCAGGACATGACTGTGACTTCATAAACGTTTGATCCGTTTACAACCTTATACTAATACTTTCACATTTAGACCTGGTTAAGGTTCTTTCAGCTTCCTTGTGCAAATTTTTAAACAAAATGAATCTAGTTCAGATCATTTCAGCTGTTTTGTCATCCTTTCAGCTTCATTCTGCTAATGTCAACATTTTTGTGCTTCTTCCAACTTATTTATGCTAATTTATGCTTGTTCTACTTCTTTCAGCTTATTTCTGGATGTTTCAGCTATTTCTACTATTTCGGCTAGCATTTAGCTGTTTTCATGCTAATTTCATCTTTATCAGCTAATTCCACATTTTTTGCAATCATTTAAACTTTTGTCAGCCTAATTTAGCAAAAACATGTTCCCCCTGACATCCTTCTAGTAATTTAAGCTTCTTTTTTGCATGTTTTAGCTACTCTTCAGCTGTTTTTAGCAAATTCCAGCTTTTCTCAGATAATTTCAACTGTATTGTGCTGATTTCTGCCTGTTTCAGCCTTAGTGGACACAATTAACTCCCTCCACTTCCTTTTGGAAATTTAAGCTTCTTTCACCATTCCTTTAGCTACTATTCAGCTGTTTTATAGAAAAACTAGGATAACTCTGCCATTTTTAGAGCTGTTCAGATGAAACTTGGCGTATTGGTAGCTGACAAAGATCCCTAATAGACTCTGATTGAAAATCAAAAATACAAGATGGCCGCCTTAGCAAAAAATGAAAAATACTCTAAATCAGCCAGTTTTAGTCGTATTTAGCTAAAAGTTTGTGTAATTATAGCGGACAATGTTTCCCATTGAATGCTGCATGAAAATCAAAAATCCAAGATGGCCACCAAGACTACTTTTGTATGGATTTAACTCTGCTATTTTTACACATACAGAGCTATAGAGTTATAGCTGAGAATGTTCCCTATCACATGCTGCATCCAAATCAAAAATCCAAAATGACCGCGTTAGCTAAAATTTAAAAAATGCAATAACTCAGGCATTTTTAGAGCTATTCAGCTGAAATTTGTTATAGTTTTAGCTGAGAGCAAACACAAATATAGAATACTATCAAATTAACAATTTACATCGACAGCAGCCTGGCAGTCCATTTTATTAGGAACGATTGTGCACGTTCTGCTCCTGATATTTGAAGTTTCTTTCTACTATTTCAAGCTACTTTTCAACTGTTTGACATTCGTAAGCAAGAGGCATTCACACTTGCATTTTCGCAGGAAATGCAAATTCTCTACTTTGAATAGCTCTGCACTAAAGTTAGCAGAAATATCTTAAATTATAGCCTAAATACAAAATTCAGAGCAATGTCGCACAACATGTTTCTGATCAGTCAGACTTTTTTTTTTTTTTTTTTTTTTCACGGACAGTTCAGTTCCTGTGATGGTGGTCAACAGATTATATTTAATTCAATGAAATTTGTTTTGCTTGTTTCTAGTCCGGTCACTGCAACCAGCGTCGCATGAGCCGAATGTGACTGCTGAGCGGAGCTCTAATCTGGATGGCAGAAGTTCATCAGAATGTGTAAATTACAGCAGAACAAGTGTGTTTTCAAAGTTTTAGGTGTTCTTTAAACTAATTTAATTATTTTATGCCTTCTTACCACTCCACACATTTTAAACGCCACATATCTGAAGTCATCAAGGTGGAATTTTAGTCCTGTTTCCACCTGAAAACAAGTAAATTATGGATTATTTTGCTATATTCAACTCACATGTGTGTTCTCAGCACGTGTTTGCACCCGAACAGATAATTAAAGCCGTTTGAATGAACCTGCTCAGTGTAAGTTTTGGTGTTAACCTCAAAGCTCTGTGGTCGGTGAAGTGCACAGCCACAAAACTTAGCTGGAAATACAGTACTTCTGTCAACCATCACAGTTATGAACACGTTGTCAGATCAATACGTTCACTTTAGATTTCCTATCAATATTGTTGCAGCTGTCATTATTTTCTAGGATTAGAGGTATTTAATTTAAACATTAAATAATACTGTTCATCCACACCTTTGATCATTTTGTTGAAGCTAACAAACTTCTCATTTTTAACTTTAAACGGTTGATATGAGCGTCAAAAACATGGTTTTTAATGTGTTGGCGTCATCATGGCTTCCAGTGATATTAATATTTCAATAATAAATTAAGATGCACATTTACAACTGATTAAAGTTAACCCAGTTCAAGATGGCTGCCACAGCTGTCAATGAAAAACACAAAATGCCTTTAACTCAGTCCGTTTTACAGATATTGGCCTAAATCTCTGCAGAAGCTGAAACTGATCCTCAACAACAACTGAGTGCAGACAGGTCAAGCATTTTGTTTCAAATTTTGCAAATAACTATTTAGAGCCAGCTTTGTCTGTCTGTTAGCAAAATATCTCAGGAGCCCCAGAATGGATTTTAATGAAACTTGGAGAAAATAATCAATAAATGTACTTTTATAACTGTATAGATTTTGAAGACAATCCAATTCAAGATGGCTGCTACAGCCAGCTGAGCTTACAAAACACAAAAATGGCTACAATTCAGTAAATGTTAAGGCTATTGTGATACGATTTGGTGAGATGTTAGATGAGAGCTAACTACAACACATACTTCAAGTGCAACTCGTTGTGAAAATTATTTGCTTAAAACTGTAATATTAACTGTTGGAGTCAATGTTGTTTGTCTGTTAGCAAAATATTTCAGGAACCCTTGAATGGATTTTAATGAAACTTGGAGAAAATAATCAATAAATATACTTTTATAACTATATAGATTTTGAAGACAATCCAATTCAAGATGGCTGCTACAACTAGCTGAACTTACAAAACATAAAAATGGCTATAATTCAGAAAATATTAAGAATATTGTGCTTAAATTTGGCGAGATGTTAGATGAGAGCTAACTACACACAAAAAAAATTAAAGTGCAGCTCATTTTGAAAATTATTTGCTTAAAACTGTAACATAAACTCTTGTAGCCGATGCTGTTTGTCTGTTAGTAAAATATCTCATGGACCTCTAGATTGATTTTAATGAAACTCTCAGGAAGTAATCTTCAGAAGTACATCTACAACTGATGAAGTCTTGGAGCCAATACATCACAAGACGGCTGCCACAGCTAGTTGAAATTGGCCAACAAAAAATAGCTATAACTCCGTCAGTTTTACAGATATTGGATGAGAGCAAGCATAACAGTATGTCTAAGGAATATAATCTTATGTTAATCTGTAATTTATTGTGCATCAAACTTTAGGAGTAAATTAAACAATATTTAATTGAAAACAGTTACTTGCAGAGGTCACCTCTTAAAGAACAAAAATAAACTATTCTTTTATTCAGCTTGGGAGTGAGCAACCTGTGTTGTTAGATAAAGTACAAAACTGTGTCGCATAGGTGTAAAAAAAACACACAACAAGAGAAACCACCTGCTGCAGCACCGTTCAGACGCTCTGAGAGCAACATTTTCCAAAACAGCTTCACACGAACTCGTTTCTCTGATCGTCAGCTCCGAGACGCTTTGAAGCGATTTGCACGTCAGAGCCTCATGCAGGTTTTTGTGTGGGAATAGTGGAAATAGAAAAATCTTCCGCTCGCGTACTGAAAAGGTCATTTCACCATGACCAAAAGCTCCGGGGCCTTACAGTCACACAACCTTTGGGCAAACCCCTGCACTTGCGTCACTTAGCCAAATACAGCCCACTGCTATCGGCTCTTTACAAGAAGTGACGGCCTTTTTTTTCTCCCCTCCTGCCCACGACGTACGACACTCGATCTCGTTTACACAGAAGAAAATACTACTGAAGAAACAGGAAACAAGCCGCTGTGTCACAGTGAGGGAAAATTCACCTTCCTGTTTATCTAGCGAGACGATAAAAGCTGAAACCACAGAGCGTGTTGTGGGGTCCCCCCCCCACCGGTATTCTTTGTAAATGTGACACGGTTTAAAGAGAATGATAACACACACACACGCCGCGAGGGCTCGCACGCATCCAGGCCTGTTACGCAGAATCCACGGCCTACGGTGCGGCTTCTGTGAAGGTCGACAATCCTTCTAGTTTATCTGATCGAATTCAGAGAATGGTGATTTAAGAAATGCGTCTCGGTACAGCAGCGGGCGTCTCGTCGCCCCAGAAAGTGAACAGTTCGCTCTGACATGCTAATTTATTCCTTACTCTCTGCAAACGCGCCGAGCAGGTTGCATTCTGTCTGTCAATACAACCCAGGGTCAGTTTGTGCACGACCTTTTGACTGACCGCATCGTGCTTTCGTTCCCATCTGGAGTCAGCGGTTCCGCCGACGCTCGTGCACACGGGTGCGATAAGTGCAGAGTCCTCACCAGGTGAAGGCTGTCGGCTTTCTGGGTCTGCCTCATCCTGCTCTTCTGCGCGGCGATCCGGTTCTTCTCTCGCCGCATCACCTTCTTCACGTCGTCCGAGGAGCTCTGAAAGAACAAGACGCAGGCCGTGCGGCGACAGCGTTAGCGAGGAAACGAACGCTTCCTGGAGGTGAAAGGTGATTCTGGCGATTGGAATCAGCTTTGACGTTTGGCAGCTATGGAGGTGTTTTCTGGTTTTAATGGCGGTTTGAGAGCAGACGCTTTACGCGTGATGTTCAGGGCAGGGAGTGGCTGAGTCATCGGTTAGGTGTAACGCACACCCTGTTTCGTGTCACTTGTCTTGGTATCACAATAACTAATCCATTTCATAACGCTGAGTCAAACTAATGAACCTTCCCAACTGCCATGTGCTCATGAGTTTACCTGACATGCAGGAGTACTATACGCTGGAGACTCATACACAGAAAAGCAATCCAGCTCAGAGGATTTCACAGAACTGACACAAAAAAAACAAGCAAACAAAAGGATTCCCACGAACTTGGGCAAGCAATAAATTGTGCAATTCAAGAAAGCCCACACTTGATGCGAGTCATGCCTGCAGGGCATGTGTGCAACACCCTGACAAACTGTGAACAGAGCCACAGTCAGTGATGCTCCCTCATCATTATGAATCACACACACACACAAAGAGATTAGAGACACAGACTTTGGTTTCCGCTTGAGATAAAAGTTGGACCAGAGAGGACAACGTTGAGGACAGCGCACTCACCGGTCTGCTTCCAGGTGATGGGGACTTGTAGCTTGTGTCGTTGCTGTCAGAGCCCTGAGCCATAGCCAACCGCAGCGACTGAGAACCTGCGTTTTTGTCAACTTCTGCTTTGGGGTTTTATATTGTGTGTGTGTGTGAGAGAGCGTGTGTGTGTGCGAGAGAAAGAGAGAGAGAGAGAAAAGGTCTGTCTGAACAAGTTCAGAAGAGCTCGGCTCGCCACTCAGAGAGTAATGAGGCTGTTCCTTCCCTCTTTTCTTTCCCTTTCTGACACTCCTCCTTCTCTTTCACCCTTCACGCCTGTGCTCTCTCTCTCTCTCTCTCTCTCTCTCTCTCTCTCTCTCTCTCTCTCTTGCTCTCTCTCTCTCTCTCTCTGTCTCTCTCTCTCACACACACTGACTATAGCTGTAGCTAATTAGCTGTATGTGATGTGGCTTCTGGTAAGAATCTGGGTAAGTTGCATTAGACTGGAAGTCACATGTCTGATGGAAAGTTCAAAAACACAAGGTACAGGTAATTGTGTAAATTCCAGAAAAATAACGTTTTTGAACGTGTTCATTCATTCATTCATTCATTCATTCATTCATTCATTCAACCTTTATTTAGACAGGTTAATCCCATTGAGCCTCGGGGACTCATTTACAAGAGAGACCTGATTTTAACAAAGATTCATGATTTAACTCGTGATTTGAGTGAATATTACAAGGGGGTTGTTTAAAAGCTATTCTCCTTCATGTCTGTGTCACTCCAAGTTGTTTTTGTTTTTTTTTTGTTTACTAACAAAAAAAAATTGTTTAACTTTTGCAGGCCTCTTTTCGCAACCTTTGACGTGCAGCTAAGTATATTTTACGAGTATATATCTAAGTATATATTTTTTGTAATGAACGCTTTTTGAATATATTTTACGAGAATGTTTGTATCGAGCACACACGATGAGCACTGAGGCGAAACGTACCGTGGAACGTGGCCGCTAAAAGGCCGAAAACAAAAAAGGGGAAGCGTTCGACGCTACGTTTCGACTCAGTCCCCAAGAGACGGCGCATCCCAAACCATCACATGGATGACTGGGTCGTGACTATCGACACGTCTAGTGGTGATTTCCATGACTTTGCCACGCTTTGTCTGGCTCACGACACGCCAGCTGCAGAATACGTGAGGCAATGTTTAGGACTTTTGCACTGAGAAACGATCAGTGGGTTCCCCACAACCCCCACTCAGAATTCCCTCATGGGCTTTTTCTGTAAATGACCATCTGTGAAGGTGTTAAAACGGGGAGCCTTCGTGAAAATGCGCATTCTGAGGAGGTTGAATGTTCGGTAAATGCACACAAACAGAACTTTTCTGGAAATTTGACTTAAGCGCCAAATGCAACAGGAATTTTTTTTTGTTTTGTTTTCTGACTAATCTAGTGCCCTTTTCACTTGTTAGGCTCTTTCTTGTTTGGCCTCGTCGCAAGATGGCATTTGGTGGTGCAAGAACAAGATTTTCTTGTGAGGAAAAAAAAAAAAGAAGAAGAAGAAGAAGAAGAATTAGGACTAAAACAGATTTGCTTGGCAGAACAGTCCTCCCACACAAAAACATGTTCCGCCATCGCAGGAATTTTGAAAGGCTCAGGCATTTCTGATGCTTGGCATTTAGCGGCGTCCAAAAAGGAGTTGAGAAGCAAGAAAGAAAAAAAATAAGGCTGAATTATCCAGACGGCGACCTGACAGTGTTCAAAAGCTGAGCTGAAGAGAAACAAAACATGTCTCTCTATATTTGACCATTGTTCTGAACTGTTCTCAGGAACCTTAAAGAACATGTGATGACTTTCATGATTGTCTTAGGAGGCACTTTAAGAGACTTATCAACGTGGTCTGAGTTCAGACTTCACACATCTCCTCACACGACATCCATCCGTTCTGTTTTTAGCTGTAAACATTTCTTACACCTCCTCGGGCCTACGGTTCTTAGAACAAAACTTGTTTGGGTCTGAGATCCCCTTAATGTGGGGTCTGTCTTGACTGGAACTGATGATGGGAGACTTCTGATAATCCTCAAATTATTGTTATTATTATTAATCAGTTGTGTGTGAGTACAAAGATGATGCTATTGTATGTGTTTACTTGTAAATAAACAGTCAGTTGTTTTACTCAATGTGTAGAGTCCAGTCTATAAAAATAAAATCTATTTTCACTTTTAAATCCCATCAACATGACCCAAATTATACAAAAGTTTAGATTTTTTTTTTTTTTTTTTGTCACATCAACATATATTATGACAATAGTCATTGTACTGGAACACAGAAAATGAAGCCACTAAGGATGAGCACCCCCTAGTGGCTGGCTGCTTTATAATTTTTACATCCTGTTTTATATGCTAGGGCAGGGGTTCTCCAACTTTTTGGGTTCAGGCACCCCTTACAGGGGAGAAAAAGTTTCAGGGACACCCTCAAAACATGTTTATTAAATACATTTCTTCAGTTTGTCTCTTTAACGCAATGGAAATTTTTGTACAACATAAATACTTAAGACCTGTACTTTAATAGTTTTAATACAATTTTTATACTTTTAAACATGGAATATTTTTGATTTGGCTCAGTGGTTAGCGCTGTTGACTCACAGCAAGAAGGTCCGGTCCTGGGTTTAATCTCCGGTTGGACCTGGGGTCTTCCTGTGTGGAGTTTGCATGTTCTTCTCGTGCTTGCATGGGTTTTCTCCAGTTTCCTCCCACAGATTAAAAACATGCATGTTAGGCTGCCTTCAGGCCCAGACCTCCCTTGCAAAAGAGACCTGTGATCTCCATGGGGTTTTGTTTGGTTAAATTAGGGTTAATAAATAAATAAATAAATAAATTCAAGACACTTTTTTTTTTTAATTTCAACTTCCAAAAAAAATACAGTTTTGAGAAAATTAGCAGCATCAAAAGCCACTTCAAAACTTTACCTGTTCACATAATGAACATATATGTTTCACCAATTCAATTTATTATAGAAAACTCTATAAATAAAACTGAACAGAATCATAACATCAGTGGAAATAACGCAAATAGCAAGCGGGCCAGTGGGGACGGGGGACGGGGGGGGTCCTCCCCCAAAAAATTTCTAATACAGTAGATGTGATTGACTGCATTTTGGTGTATTTTAACAGGTTATTAAAAATCTATATGCTTATATACATATATATATATATATACATACATA